GTGTATGGAAGAGGAGGAAGAGGAGGCTGGTGGTGATGAAACAAGAGGGCATGATATTGACGAAGAAGAATGTGACAATGACTGGATGCATGATTCTTCCCTCCCGACAGCAGGCCCAAGCCAATCAAATACTTTTTCGCCAGTGGTCCCATCTTTTGCTAAGGCAAGTTACTGATATCTCCTAAGTGGTCGCACTGTACAAAAACTAACATGAACAATCTAGTCTTTCAGTGGCCCAAGTGACTTTCATAATTGGCAACCTAATCCTCCTGCTATGAAGCACAAGACACCATCCTGGGAAAATCGCAGTATGTTCCGCTCTTCCCCATACCCCAAGCATGTCCCGTCATCGACTTCAACGGTCACATCAATGTTGTCGCCACTGTCTATCGTCACTAAGAGTCATGGCCATGGTCCTGGTTCTGTGGCGTCAGGGGGAAGCTCAGGAAATGCAAGATCTGTCTCCAAGCTTGAGGTCATGCTAGCAGAGAAGTTGCAAGGACTTTCAGGAGATACTTCTGACCGAGAATACCAGATCGCTCTTCTCAAGAATGAACATCACATCACAAAATATAACATGCACATGCATATGAAGGAGATTGAGCACGATGAGTGCGAGCGTCAGTGCAAGCGTAGTGAAGCTGACAAGATCCACCATCGCATACTGGAGATGCAGAACCATGACATCCAGCTCCACAAGCTGGATGCAGAGGCGTTTTCTAGGGAACCTGAGGTCCTCAAGCTCAAGCTCAAGCTTGCGGAGATCAAGGCTCAGAAGGCCCTCACTGCTGGTGGCCAAGCATCGTCCTCTGCTACTCCTATGTCATTGATAATTACTCCTGCAGATCTTCCTCCATCCCTTACCTGATGTCGCTTGTAGGACGAACAAGTATGTTTTATCCATTTGTCCAAGTTGTCACCGTCGCCCTTTGTTTTTTTTACAAAATGCAAAATGTATTCAGATTCATATCCCTCTCTCCACGATCAACCTCTCCATTAAGTGCATGCGGAATTGTTGTCCTACTGATCCTGGTTCTAGGGCCAGCAGCATATCATTGTCATTCCCTTCGTCAGGCTCCCCTTCCCTCATCGCCCAATCCATCATCCCTCGCCCCAACTCTTCACAGCACCTTTCTTCAAATTGCACAACCATATTGTGCAGGATAAAGCAACATGTCATCCAGTACACAGCCAGATCCATATTCCCCAGTTTGTTACCAATTTTGATATGGAGTTCTCTCAGTGACTGAAACCGGCCTTTTAAGGCCACAAATGCATGCTCTACCCTGACTCGAATCTTCTGAATTGTCAAGGATGTGCCATGGAACACTTGGTAAGTACGTACCTTTGAAACATAACAATTATATGTGTTCTGACGCTTTGTCAAGTTCCCCCCTCATGGCTTTTTAAACGGCACAACACACCACTTCTCCAAGGGATATGCTGTATCAGCCCAAGTCCAGTGTCTGTGTGGCATAACACCGATTGGATCCTTGAAGATCCGTGTTCCCTGAAATGCATACACATCATGGACACTCCCTGGATTCCCCAGTGCATAATCAACAATGGCCAAGTTGTGCAGCATTATTACAACCTGCATGCCCATAAGTTGTCTGTTTCTGCACGACATCATACTCACCTACCTGACAGTTTAGTGAGAAATTTGATTTGCGGTCGTAGTAGCTGTCAGCGAATGACTTCAGTTGTGCATAAAGGTTAACCATTGTTCCATCCGCAGCAAAAACTCTGTTTCTCCAAGACCAGCAAGTTTGTGACTCCGCAAATTCTCGTGCATGCCTCAGTTCTGGGGATCGCACATCTGGCACATAAATGAAGTTGTTGTGCTTGTCCAGCAGCACTGCCATTACCCAGTGAGTACAATTGATGACTGTTCTGACACTAACGCCTGCCCACTGGGCAGCATCCTCAGGTGAAGATGCATTACCATAGTGCCCCACACAGAAAAGGAAAATTGTGAGTTGAACGGCCACAGGTAATTGTTTGTTGTTCGACTTGTTCAAAAATATGTAGTGGTCACTAATTTGGTCTAAAATGTCATTGAATATCACAGGATTGATGCACAATTTTTTCTGGAACAAGAGTGGTCAGTGGATAGCAAAATGATCAAGGAGTGGCAGTTGAGATGCATGCATCATTGGTATGCCTGGTCGCTCGAAGACTCGTGCCATGTGGACCTCATCATAGAGCGCCTGAATGGTCTGCAGCGCTGCTGTATATGGAGCAGTTATCCTCTTCACAGAATGGAGTGAGCTGAGGGACAAGGACGACGAGGTGGACATGGATGAAATTGGAGATAAGATCATTGGGGACAAGGGTTCGGACAAGACATCTGTCCAGTCGCCATCTGACATGCTAGAATTGGAGTCATTGTTGTCGGCCTCCATGTAAGTCCCTAGCTGCTGCAACTGCATTTCGGCAACTCTGACTGCTGCATTGCCCAGGATCTCTAGGTTCTCTTGACGAGCAGACTTATGGACCATTGCGGCAGAAGGAGGACAGTGTTATCTACTCATATCTAATACCATATCTGAGCTGCCCCCTACAAATATCACTTGCAAGTGAATGTTCAAACTTAGATGTTGAATATAAAAAGACATGATGTCATGCTGTGTAGCACAGCACTCCAAAAATGCAAAGTGAGTGGAGGTTTAAAAAATCGGAACTTGAAATTTGTCAAAGTTGCGGCTGAAGTTTCTGCTAGGGTTTAGTGCTGAACTCAGCCAACTCAGCTAGGGTTTAGTGCCAAAATCACTCCAACTCAGTTTATTTTGAGCACCACTATTGATTGCACCTGCTGGTATAGCCTTCGTTTCCTCCCTACCCCCATCTTTGACACCATATGACTCATATTTATTTGGTTGATTGTTTTGTTGATTACTGCAGATACGTGTCGTGATGTGCCTGTCGCGACTGCTATGGTACTTGTACTTAGGGGTATATAATCCTATGTACTTCGTCCTGTATCTGCAGTTTTTCAATAGCTTGCAACTGAGCTTCATCCCTTTGCTCTAATCCTTGTTCTCTCTCTGTGCGAACAACCTTAGGGACTCACCAGTAGACAGAACCTCTGTCGGATCACTGCGATAACTCAGCCATAGGGGTTACAACAAGTTCAGCCCATAGTCTCCCACCTCATGCACTTCGTGCCTATTCCATTTGAAGAAGTCACCGCGCTCGGGCATAACACATTTTGCATATATGTTTGCCATGTAAGTAGCAGTGGTTGACCAGATTTCCCAATTTTTGTATATGTCTACAATCACATTATATTGCATTGGCCACCCTGCAGGCATACAGTGTAATGAGTATGGATATTTGCACTAAAGCATCAATTTGATGCACCACTAGGACTTTCTGAGCATCTCAACCCATAAATCATATATCATGCATTTGATATGAATATTCCATGGCACTGGCTTACCAGGTTTCTACATGTCTCTGCCTACCTACATTTGAAGGATAGCTAGTAGTGAACAAGCTACAGTATGAGGGATTGAGAAAAAATTGAAGTATCTCTATGTACACATTACATGATTATGTAAGCAGACTCGAAACTTGGAGTACTAATATTAATGCTGTTACCAGCCAGGTGCATGCCTACAACTGGAAGGCAAACCACCAAACACCTTATAGTGCTGTAGAGGACTCCTTCTGAACACCTTCAAGTTACAGAGACTGAAGGCTTGGACATCATTCTGACCCAAACAGCATGTAAGCCTCTTCATTTGATCAATGGTCTATCATCACTACTGGCCTTATACCTTGATATTCCTTGATTTTCCATTGGCCATACTTGGGTTCACCATTGTGATGGCTTTATATAACATTGCAAAGCTGTATCCATGTATACTGCTGGACCTGATGATGGCTTTGAGGTTATGAGTATGCTGACATATGTAATCGTATTTCATTGATTCATCAATCATATCAAAGAAAGTAGTTCCACTACAAATATACTATCCTTTGCAACTCCATGCTCCTCCACTATACCCCATAGTGATGTCTGTACATGAGTATAGTAAGCAGAACTCACATGAACATGGCACACATGCTTAGTCAGCAATGTGGCTGCTCAGTGCCAAGTCCAGAGGCACAGAATGAAAATGCAAAACAAAAAGAAAAGAAAGAACTTGGGCTTCTCATAGGTGAAGACCTTGTTATCCCTACATCCAAGGGGGGTTTAGATCATGACTGTCATCAGCCATCCTCTCTCCTTGTGCAGACATCCTTGGCTTCACAAACACACCCTTCACCCCTCAACTCCCCACTCCTGAACATGCCACCTGTCCTCACTAATGCTCTCTTGTCCCTATGCACATCCTTGACTTTGCAATGTACCCTTTGCACTCAACCAACAACTGCCTAAGGCACAACTCCTTCCTCTTGCAAAACACACTGCTGACCTCACACACACACACACACACACACACACACACACACACAATCTCATGGACCATGTGAACCATGCCATCACCCTTCCTAATGTGCCCCTGACCATGCACAAACACCCAGCCACCTTTTTCACCTTGAACACATGACCTCAACCTCCCACAACCACCAAGACAACCTTTGAACTGGACAATGATGGAGGTAACTCTGGACAAGTAAGCAAGTTGGTGATGAATCAAGTATGAAGCAAGGGGGGGAATTCACCTTTCAAGATGCAGTACATGGTGCAAAATGGTGACAGGGTACTAGCACAGTGCAGTGCTGGCATGCTGGCCATTGGCCTTTTATGAAGTAAGCTGAAAGACTAATATGCCCAATTTCTGTGCAGCTCTGATGTCCTGTGCATGTTATGTGTCCCCTCACAGTTTTGAAGGTTTCCAATGTGGTTGTAAATGTGTTCACTCTTGTGCATACATCTGTAGAGTCATGATTAAGAACATTTGTCCATTGGCTCAAGAATGGATGATGGTGCACTTGAGTTCATGTGGGTTCGAATGGAGTGTTGAACATGGATAGGATGGATTTGACATTGGGTGGGGTGTGACATAGGGACTGAGTGGTTGTGTGGGGCTGGGTGGCATGTGATGATATTCAGTAGTGGCATATATGGGAGGGGGAGTGCAGTGTAGGGACTTGTTGAGTTCTACCTAGCACTTTCAGGGTATAGTTTGGGTTTGCCCAACATGGTAGAGGAGTAAGAGGGAGGAGGAACAAGTTTGTCCACTGTGAGTAGGTGGACTTGTGTGGCATTCCTGACATTGTTATAATCAAACAGATTGTTGTTGTCATCAATCTGGATGTGGGTTTGGCTGCATTGATATGCTTGGTATAGGCTGGCCATCACTTGACAGTCTCCAGGCATGAATGTCTTGTAGATGAGTCTATGGACTCCAGCTGTGATGGCTTGGGTGCCTTTGATGTTGACCTTGTAGTAGATGGAGGGGTCTTCTGTGTTGTCCTGTGGTGAGGCAGTCTGTACAATACATGTGGTGCCTGACTCTTTCAATACATCTGACACATCCCATTCATCTGTGATATCTCCCTTACAAAACAGGACATCATGGTGTCTCTGTATGATATCCAACATGGAGATGGCATCTCCTCTTGCTGGGTGTTTGACAATTTGCATGCAAGTTCATAGAGTCACTTTGAACACTTCCCTTCTGGCATTTTGTGGGTGTTATACTTGTCATGCTGTACTATTGCTTACCCCACAATTTGCTTCCCCATTAGTTGGCTGGTTTTTCAAAATGACAACTTCTTCCCTAACAACACATTTTTTGTATGGTCACATGTCATGAAATATGTATCCTTAGGTACTACAAAGTTGAATGACATCAATCCACTGAGTACTTGTTGAGATAGCAAAAACAGTGTGACAAGCAGAGGAATCATGCCTGTGATGGCCATGCCAACATGCAAAAGTGGAGTATGAATTGTCTGATTCCATGGCACTGTTGCCAGTGGCCAGTACTGGCAGTTGGTAAGACAGCCCAGGGGACTCCTGAGATGGGTCAGGTGAGGGGCAAGAAGGCATCTCAGTCCCCTGACCATGAAAAATGGATCCAAGCTGCCATCTTGGGAGTTGCCAATGGGTTGTACAAATCCTACTCAGAAGCTGCCAAGGCTGAGGGGGTAAATTCTGTTTAACCATGTCAAGGATTTGGGCTGATAAGATCTGCAGGTTGTTTGACAGATTCTGATGAATTGGTTGAATGGTGTTTGTACCAGAAGCAAAGCACATGCTAAATGTCAACTTCTCACCCCTGTGCAAGAGGAAGTGCTTGTTGATTGGTGCTGACAGAACTCTAGTAGTGCCACCCCCCTCCATTTCAAAAATCTTTGTGCTTGAGCATTTCAGGTGTGTGGTAAATGCCCTGGAAAGAATTGGCCTAGCACTTTCTTAAACTGCATCCCTGTCTTGTGTCAGTGAAACCCAGGGGCCTCAATCCTAAAAGGGCTCAAAACTTCAACAAAATGGCTGTCAAAGAATATTTTAAGCTTCAGCATGAGCTGGAAGAAAAATATGATGGCATACCTCCTGAACATCACTGGAATATGGATGAGAAGGGCTGTCAGATGGGTGGAGGGAGGCAAGGTTCAGGCATGAAATTTATTTTCAGCTTGGAGGACAAGGAACATTATCATCTACATAGTGACAACCTGGAGTTGGTCTCTATCATTGAATGTGTCAATGCAGCAGGTACAGTGATGCCACCTGCCTTCATTATGAAGGATGGGCCTCTTGCTGATCATTCTGACATTGAAGGCATTGCAGCATAAGTTCACATCAGCTACTTTGATTGCAAATACTTATCATTCAATCAGTGTTGTGACATCTCCAAATGGTTGGACAGATCAAGAACTATGTGAGACATGGTTTCAAGAGACATTCATTCCAAATGCACTTGCATGTCAGGTTGATGATAAACCTATTGTTCTTTCTGTGGATGGACATGATTCACATGAAACAGACAAGCTCAAGCAGTTGCATATGAATATGGCATCATTGTCCTTGCATTCCCTTCAAAAAAGACACACAAACTTCAACCCCTGGATGTTGGAGTTTTCTCATCTCTCCAGCAGAAATGGACTGCTCATTGTGGGCAGTGTATCATTGATGGGATCAAGGTTGACTGATATAATTTTGTCCCAGAATACATGAAGGTTCACAAGAAAGCCATGATGCCTGAGCTCATCAAGAAGTCATTTTCTCACACTGGGATTTATCCTTTCAACCCAGACATCTTTACTGATAGGGATTTTGCTCCCAGTAGAGCCACCTCCTGTAATGCCCACCTTCCACCTTCCTATCCACCAGAAGTTCCCATACCTCAAGCTTCCTCTTCAATGACTCCAATGGACAATGAGTCAGATGAGGATGGTAATGACAAGGAATTCTCCTATGATCCAGCCTTAGATGGCACTCACAAAGCATTCCAGGATCATGGATTCCCTTGTTTCTCATCTCTGACAACCTTCAGTTCCCAAAATGGGACTCATGTACCTATGGAACCTACCCTTCTCTCTGGCAACAGAACAATCACTTCATCAGAAAATTCCTCAGAGTCTACTGGAGGCAAAATAACAATACCTGAGGACCACATGCATGCTCTACCTGCAATGCAAGTGGATGAATGCAAACCTATGCCTGTCTATGGATGCACACCATTCACTGGACCAGTACTCCCACTTGTCTTGCTTGCACAATATTCAGAGACGAGCAAAGAAGATGGCTGGGAATATATTTGCCAGCTTCATGCAGAAAATCAGGCCCTTGTGACCACTGTGGCAACCCAAGCAGCTCAACTTGAATCTTCAAATACTCACTGTACTATGGTGAGATACAAGATATCAGCCCTATGGGAGCAACAGGCTAGCAAGAAAAAGGGAAAGGCATGGATGATGAAATTCTCAGCTTGATGGGTCACCCACCTGGATATGAGGGACACATTTGAATCTGAGTGCAAGGAAAAGGAGGAGAAGGCTTCCAGGGAAGCTGAGATCATGGTGAAGAAAAAGGCTGAGAACAAGGCTAGGGTATCCTGAGTTGATCATGACATTATCTCAAGGATGTTCAAAAGTCCTTTGTCTGCTTACAAGTGCAAGGATGATTTTGTTGTGATTGCACATGCCCTTCAAATTGCTGTTGAGTCCAAAGATACAATCATGACTCTCACCAAGGAAATCAGGGCACATATGGATGAAAATCCTGTGATCACCAAAAATCCATGATTCTCTGCATTATTTGGGGAGCCAAGTCATTGTGGTCAGTGCAGTAAGCATGTGGCACCTGGGTCACCATCCAGAATCAACCAGGAAGACCAATGCAACATGCCAGTGCTGGCACTGAATGGATCCAGCCATACCCTGCAAATTAATAGTTCAAATCATGCAGGGTCATCGACTGTTTATTCACAACCTTACATGGCACCAGCCTTGTTCTCACATTTCCATTTACCAGGTCCAAATGCTAGTGAACCCCTGCCATCATGGTTGCAGCCACACTCTACTTACAGACAATTCAATCCCCCAATGGATACTGCTCATTCATCATTACTCCACCAGCACCCAACTCAAACACCACAACAATTTCACAGTGGACCCAGTGGACATTCATATACCTTCCCATCAAGTAGTAGTATATATCCAGCTTAATGATCCCTTGTTTGATACTGCACATCACTAGCATCCATTATATGACTTTTACTAATTGAGATGTCTACTAAGTACAAAGCATTCATTAGACTTCACTACTATTTCTGCTGCCAAGTGGGACTTGAAACTCTGGGGTGTGACAATGCATTACTTTCTGTGACATTTTGTGATGGCCAACTAGTGGGGAGGCAAACTGTGTGGTAGGTGATAGTATATTGATGCATTCCTTCTTCAATGTCATCAGCTACTCTAGAATAACACAACCATAAGTAAAACATCATGAAACAAAAACAAGAACTTGGGCTGTTGTGCTCTAAGGGCCTAAACACATCCAGGGCAGCCAGGAAGGTAGTTCTGCCTTTGTGTCTGAGTCTGCTGGGTAGTTTCTTTCCATGGCATCTTGCAAGACCTTATCATTGGTGTATTTCCTGAGTGCAGTGAGTGATTGCAATACACAGTGAATAAGCTGCAGTTCAAACTTGGACATCATTTACTCAATAAAAGTGATGTTAACTTTGATTTTGGCTGCCAGTGGGAGGGTCTTCTCCTTGTACATTGTTGTAGATTCTCATGTCATAACAGCTCAGGTGTTGGTCACACTTCATTGCAAACAGCTGTTTCCCCTAGAATAATGTAGTTGTAAGTAAAATGTTCTAAACAAAACAAACCTTTGAGCTCTTGAGCTCAGCATCTGCACCTGTCATGCCTCATCTCCATTGAATGGCAATTCTTGACTCTCACAGCCTGTGATTGACATCCAATTTTGTCATTGTTGTTTGCACTTGTTCACTCCAGTCATCCTTTGAGTGTGGTGATCTTGCTTAGTTGAATTATAAGCATGCTTGGTTAGCAATGTGGCTGCTTGATGCTAAGTCCAGAGGCAGAGAACAAAAATGCAAAACAAAAAGAAAAGAAAAAAAGGGGGAAACTTGGACATATTGTAGGTGAAGACCTTGTCTTCCCTACATCAGATCACCTGATCCTGAGTTATATACAAAAGTGGCTCAGACTACTGCTGCACAGAATTGGACACCTAAGGTGTCCCCAGAGAGGGTTCAGCTAGTGGAATGTGTGGCAGGAAAAGTGAGAGAAATGGTGCAGGGACATGCAAGATACAACCCTAAATCTTTAAGGGCAGGGAGAGGTGAATTTCTCAAATGGCAATGGCTGAGGCAATCAACACAGAGTTCATGGAGATGGTAGAACATATCTAGACAGACATACAACACATCATTTGAAAGCTCTCATAGAGTAGTATCTCATCCCTGAGAAGTGAGAGTCCTGGTGGTGAGATGGGTGAGACACAGCACAGATTAGTCATGAGGTAGCACTAGGGGGAGGAGACTGTTAATTATTTGATGGGCACTCAAAACAGAATGAAACCAGGAGAGATGGAGAAGGAAAGCGGGACAAACACAGCACAAAAGGAGTGAGGAGGAATCCCATCAGGAAAAGGGGACTTTGCTATAGGTGGTTTTTTTTTGGCTTTTTATTGTCTTTCTGCACTTTTTGTCATCCTTTTTCACTTTATAACTGAAAAATGGCAAAAAAAAAAGGGCAAAAAAAAGCCAAAAAACCACCTATAGCAAAGTCCCCTTTTTCCTGAGGACTCAATCCTGAAATACCTGTGAAATTGTCTGATCCTTGAACCACAAGATGTGGTATTTGAATGAGCTCCACATCTACTGCAGCATACAATATAGCATTTGAAAGCCCTATTTGAGTAGTATATGACTCCAAAAAAGTGAGAGATCTGGCATCCAAACAGGTGAGATATCATGCCCCAGGAGAGGATCTAAACATCTGCATGGAGGGGCATATCAGTAATGAATGTAGTGTCATGACTGGGAAAGCCAGGAGACCCAAGTCAACACCCATCTGCAGGATGGGCTGAGCAGTTGTCAACATGGTGGATGTTGAGCCTGTGCAAAATGTCATACCACAGACAAGTGTGATGGAGACAGGGGGAGAGGATACAGTAGATGATGGGTCCTCATTGTCTAGTGTGTTGATCATCACTGGTAACATCACTGGTACCCACAATGATATCCTCCCTTGTGCATGCACATACTCAATCCTTTCCAATCCTCTCATGGTGTGCCCTCTATCACACCATGCCTCTGTAACAACTTCTTCAACTACATGTCAGGGCAGTGGACATAAGTCTCATACATATTATTCTTTGGGGTATATGTTTAACTCATAATCTAACATGTTTGGCTTTAAAGGATGAGGACCAGTTGGGGTTGCTAGATGACCATTGAATGGCAGAGATGGCTGTCAAGCTGAACAAGCAGGGTCCAAATCAGAACTGCTGGACTTGATGTGAGGGAGTTTGTGTGCACAACTCCAATAAGATAGACCTTCATGTAGTGACAGTAGTCACCTGTGAACTATGAAGTAACATTTACTGCTGTATGTCTATGGGGCTGCAGAACATGAGCCCTGGGCAGCAATTCTGAGTACAAATTTACATGAGTCTGTAACAATGATCAAAGTGGCATTTGAACCAATCAGACAGGACAAAGTGCATTCCTAGAAAATACATGAAGCTACCAAAATGTTAGAGTGTAAAGTAACTTACTGAATTTGTTTCATAACTTGATACCAATGTGTCTTGTTCATCAATGCCCATTGATGATCAAGGAATGCATCACCAATCCCCAGCTCCAGGTCTGCATACCTTTCTAGAGTAGCTGCTTCACTATCTGGGTTGCCTCTGTCAACTGCACTATTCCCATGCTTAGACATGTAATGTTTCAAATTATTTCCCTTATCCATGTCCAATTCCAGGACCCATTGAAGCTATGTGATTACAGTCTTATTCCTTGTCCCAGGCATGGAATGGTGTAGGATAGATACTCACAGAATAGACTACATGGCTGATAAGCCTAATGGGAATTGTGAATGATTCAAAATCAGTCAGGTTATTGGCAAGCCAGATAAGGGTTAACTCTGGGAGCCATAGGAGAACCTTGACAAAATATAAATCAATACAAAGGTCAATGAACTTTACACAGATTGGTCCCTATCAGATCATGTCAGCATGAGCCCTCTGGTAAGAACTGGTATGTCACTCACTGCAGGACCATTGAAAGTTCTGTGACACCATGCATATGGCTCTGCAGCAACATTCCTAATATGCTCTTCACAATTTGGTGCCACTTGAACCCTGGGATCCTGCCCTTTTCTTGGAGGTAATTGGGTTGTGATACCAAAGTCTACAGATGCCACTCAAAAGAGTGACCTGATGTTACCATGCAAGTGGTCAAAAAGAACATCAGCAAACTAAATCACTCATCAGTAAGAATCCACATATGCCACAGCATATTACCTGTTCACTACCATGCACTGCTACAAGTACATAGAAGGTCAGAGGCTGATTGCTGAGAGATCAATGTAGAACTTACAAGTGAGTCCTCTTGGAAGCTTGTAAATTTGGACTGTCCTTCTAAAACAGCATGGGCCATGGCTGTTTGTTCACCTTTTGGGATGTCAATCCCTGCCAGTAACAGTTGACTGGAAAACTACTGCTCAGCATGCTGCTTTGCACTTCCAAACTTCTCTGAATTTGGCCAATTCAAATTATGCCTAGAATGGGGGTGATCCCTTGCCTCAGCTGGCCAGGCAAAGGAAATTAAGGGAGTTGTGCCAGCAACCAGTCTATCTCCCATGAGAACTGCAAACAGTTAGGAACAAGTTCAAGAAACAAATTATACTTACTTTCCCAATGTGGGGCCCCAGTGAGTTGTGCCCAGGCCTGGTCATCTATCACACTCTGTGGGGGTATGTATTCACCTTCATATGGGACTGGCACATAAATATCTTAATCCAATGGCCATGAAAATATATTGATTTCACTGTGAGATTTACTTACTTTTCAAAGTGGCATGATCCACATCTGAAAAGAAATTTCAGTTGAGTTGACAATTATAGGTATAACTGAAGTTGACTTACATGAGCCTGGGGGAGGAGGGTGAAAAGTCCACCCTGCTTCCCCCTCATTCTTTTTCCACCCTCCTGTCTCCCCTGTGCTCTCTCCTGCAATAGCTGGTCAACATTTATGTACTTTGTATAGAATCTGATGGTTCTTGACTTACCAGTATGCTGAGTGCCTGAATCACCAGGGACCATGTGAAATGGAGGGTAAAAACCCTGTGGATACTCCCCTGAAATATTCTCTGGATGGTTGGACCAACCATCCATGATGTACTGGTTGTCATGGCCCTCAGTTGGCAACCAGTGAGAGACATGTTCAAGGGTTGGGGGGAGAGTCATAGACATGATCCTTTGAAGACCAGACTCTATAAATGTACCAATGGTGAGTCTCAGTCAAAATGCAAATGAAGGGGACACTTTCACATACCCCCTGAACTAGGGACACCAGGGCCTTGGAATTGGGCTATTCAATGAGATTAGCTGAATTACCCAAAAGTACATGAAAGTGATGGACTTACAACCATGATGATAGATACCTCCTCCAGAACTGGGTTGAGTTTGGTATGGGCCTGGCAGGGGAGAATCAGCCAAGTCAATTAAACTTCTAAATGAATGAAAAAATATTACTTACCAGACTCAGAGTAATATGGTAGACCCCCATTGTCCTGATATTATCCTGGTAGGGGAGAATCAACCAAACTAAACTTCTAAATGAAAAAATCTCACTTACCAGACTCAGAGTAATATAGTAACCCCCCACTGTTTTCCTGATTTTGCCCTGGTAGGACCAAATCAATTAAACTTCTGTATGAACAGAAAAAAATGCTTACCAGATTCAGAGGAATATAGTAGACCCCCACTGTTGTCTTGATATCGCCCTGGTAGGGGTCAATCAACCAAATCAATCAAATGAATAAAAAAATATTGTTTACCAAACCCAGAAGAATATGGTAGACCCCCACTGTTGTCTTGATATTGCCCTGGTAGGGGAGAATCAACCAAATCAATCAAATGAATGAAAAAACCCTGCTTACCAGACTCAGAGGAATATAGTAGACCCCCACTGTTGCCTTGATATTGCCCTGGGAGTGGAGAATCAATCAAATCATCTAGATGAATGAATAAGTCTTGCTTACCAGACTCATGGGAATGCTGTTCTCCAGATATGAACCCAGCATTCACATCCTGTTGGCCTAGCCATGGAGGATTAGCCAAGTTAGCCAAATGAATGAAGGAACCCACCATAGTACACTTGCCCCTGGTCCACTGTACCCTGATCACTCTGTAAAGACTGATCAGTGATCAGTGATTCCCCACCACTATTGTATTGTTGTTGTTCCATGGTGTATATACTTCCTAGGTCATTGAGAGGCTAATCAGTGGTGAGATGACCATCACTTACACTAGATTTTATGTCTGATGCAACCCTGTAAATCTGTGATGCAAGCTGAGGATAAGATCTGACATCTAACTGTGTCATCACCAAAGACCTGATAAGGAATGAGTGGCCGTGATGCAAATGAGTATCTTGCCCATTTTCATGCCATTCCTCTCGCATTTTTGCAGGCTTGTGCTACTCAACAATGACAACACAACAACAGTTTTTTTCACTGATCATGATCATGCCAAGCTGATGCTCCCTTTCACCCAGGACACTATGATAGTGCAACAGAGTTGTATGTATGAGTACTGTTGGTCCCACAGTGGTGAGTGGTTTCCAAAGAAAGGAGAGCTCATCTACTTGAGCAACAGCAGCAGCAGCAGCCACAACCCTTCTCCCTACTGGACGCAATTGCCAACAGTCTCCTTTTGCAATTGGAATCAGTTCCATCCTTGAGCATTGTGGGTGACACATGTGCACTACCTCATTCCACTGCCATTGAGTCATCCATCTCTGTTCCCCTCCTCTCTCTCCCCTCAATTGTATTTGAACAGTCACCATCTCCCATGCTGGATAGTTTGGCTGCCCACTCATCTGACTCATCTTCCTTGGCTTCCCTTTCCTCTGACCTTTATGACTCCCCACCATCACCACCCACCACACTTAAGGACCAGGTTCAGGTAGCTTATGTATTGGATGACATATGACTTGCCAAGACACTTCTCCTCATACTCAAAGGCATCAAAAGTCACCTCTGACAATGACCCTAGGATTGATGAGGTCTGTGACAAGGACTTCAATGTTTACTTTGTTCCTTCTGGTCCCCTCACCCTTGAGGATGCAGATAGGAGAGCCATGGAGGAGACCCAATGCAAACAAAGAGAATGGGCAGAGAAATCACAGAGATCCATGCAATTAAAGGTGTGCTAGAGAATGTGAGAAGAAGAGAAACAATGTCTACAGGTGGACAAGCTTGCCACTATGCGAAGATGAGAGCAACAACTCACAACTGCAGAGGACAAGCAGAGATGCACTGTGCAAAGACAACAATGTTACTCAAGGGTGCAAGTTTGGAAGCTCTACTCTGAATTTTCATTGACAGTTCAGTGTTTCAGGCTCATGCCAAGAGATACTCTTACTCAAACCCTACATGAGAAGAAACCCCATTTCAATACAGCTTCATGGTACCCACCAACCCCTCTGTCCCAACCTCCACCTGGCAAGTCATTGTTATGCCTGAGTGCAGTGACTTCTTCAAATGGAATAGGCATGAAGCGCATGAGGGGGAGTCTACAGGCTGAACATGTTGTAACCCCTATGGCTCAGTTATCGCAGTCATCTGACAGAGGTTCACTCCTTCTGGTGAGTTCTTCTGAGATCACACAGAGGAGGGAACAAGGATGAGAGCAAAGGGATGAAGCTGAGTTGCAAGCTATCAAAAAACTGAGGATACAAGGTAAAGTACGAGGGTTTATATACCTCTAAGTATGAGTACTGTACCAGTTGTGATGAGACGCATCGCAACATGTATCCACAGTAGTCAACAGAACAATCAGTCAAATACATAAGTCAGAGGGAGTCATACAGTGTCATATGATGGGGGTAGGCAGGGGAACAAGGGCTATACCAGCTGTGCAATCAATGTGCAGCAAGGAGCCAGACACTGGAGCTATAGTACAACATCTGAGCAATATAAACAAGTCAGAGACAAGTCAGAAAGGTAAGAACATAACATGTCATCCATCAGAGAGGGTGGCGGAACACCAGATCACAGTGGAGGTGCGGTCTCAACAGGCATTGGAAATACCTTGACAGCAGGAGATCTGACAGAGCCTCACAGCATACAAGCCCCTAAGATGGCAACAATTATGAGAGACATGACAAGGCACATGATGCATGTGACCATGAGCAGGTGAAAAAGGAAAGACCCCTGATGTGGGCATAACATCACCCCCCCTCCAAGGTCCTCAGACCCTTGAGGACAAGCCAGATGTGTTGGTAGGGCGGGCAGAAAGGGGTTGGCAAGTAGTATAGATGTAGGAACGAGTGCATGAAGCAACGGGCGATGGTGGTGATGGAGATGCCAGCTCCTTGAGGGCCAGAGTAAAGCAGGAGCCATGTCCATGGCAGCACAACCAATGTCCCAAGTAATGACATTGGAAACATGCGTGTTGGTAAAGGATGTGGTCAGCAGGGACAGGGGACTGCCCTCCGAGGTAGTACCAGAGTTGATCAAGAGGGACAGGGACGAAGGGAGCCACAGGGAGAGGGTTGGTGAAGTGGATGGCATTGTGATAGTGCTTATGGATCCCTGCCCATGATGCATCCTGCAGAAGCACCTCCCAGGCAGAGTTATGAGTCCCAGTTCCAAGACGAGCACCAACCTCTTTATACAAGTCACCAGAGTCAGCATAAGTCAGCTCGAGCACCTTCCATTCATTGACCTTTTGTTGTTCTGCCTGCTTCTCTTCTTTTTCTTTGCAGAAAACCAATGGTTCCTCTTGTTTTGGGCAAATACAATCAAGAAGGCAAGAAGTGGGTGGGGTGAGGAACTTGCTGATCTGCTGATGACATAGATGATGATATGTGCCACCAGTAATGGCCTCCAAGAGCTCTGAGGATCCTTGCTCAAGCATGTCGACCATGATGACTTCAGACAGGGGTGTGAACCTGCCAAGTTTCCAGGTACAGATTTTGGAGACTGCAGAATTGATCACATCTGTCACTCTGTAGATTTCAGACAGCAGCCCAAAATATGTAACCTGTTCTGGTGAGCACCTGTCAATGTGGTCCTCATCATGGAAGACATCAAGTGCCCTAACAACATCCAGGTAGTCAGCTGCTGTGATTGGTAATCACTGCTCATCATCCCTGGCAAGGGCCATGCTGGCAAGGAGATTGAGGGCGATGCATTGTGCCCCATTGGAGTAGGTGGTGAAGGTGGTGCATAAGTCAGCAGGTTCAGGAGCATAGGCAGGACTGGCCCTGGCTGTTCGACTATCAGGGTCATTGTCAACTCACACTTTACCCTTTCCCTTTCCCTGTCAGTTACTGTCCCCACTGAGGGAGACTCTGGCCTTGGGGGCAGGGACCCTCTTAACTGAGAAGGATGTGTGTGGACATGTTCAGAGAGGGTGGGTGAGAGGGGGTGATGTTGCATGAAGTTGTGAGATGGGGGATGAGGGGTATGAGTCAGAACAGCTGGTGGTGGTCATTGGAGGTGAGGTTGGGGCATAGACAGTGACAGGGGGGATGAAGAGGTCATCCCTGTCAGCTGTGGGGTCATAAACAGATTCTGCAAGGGGGAGGTCAGCATAGTTGTTTTCTGTATTGACAGAGCAGGGGGAATCCATCAGTTTCTAAGGTGATGGGCAAGTTTGTACTGGGAGAGGGCCTCAGAGGCATGGTCTTTTATATGTTCCTTGGGTTCCCAAGTGTTTGATGAATGCAGGAACCCTTTCCACTTGACCAGGTACTGTCTCTTACCTCTGCACCCATCAACCTTGTGATTGATGATGGACTTGACCTCCCATTCAATTTCATCATCAACAAGCTCTGGTAGTGGTGCAGCTGGAGCTTTCCCGTAGGTATTGTTTTCCATATAAGGATAGATTCAAGAGGCATGGAACATGGGATGAACCTCCCAAGTAGGCAGGAGAGCCAACCAGAAAGCCACTGGTGACACAACCTGAGTCACCTCAAAAGGTCTGAGACATCTGGGCACAATCTTGTTGCACTGGTTTTTGCCATGAAGATGCCTGGTATCCAGTAGAACTTGATCTCCTACCTTGGGTGCAACATAAGACCCTTTTGAGCACAAACACATCAGATCTTGTGCCTTCTTATGTGTGAGGATGGTGACATCACAGTTCGAGGCCAGCCTTTCTAATCTTTCATCAACCAAGGGAACCATGGTTAGCCAAACTTCCAGATAGGGGGATGGGTCATATCCAAAGAGTAGCGAAAATGGGGTCAATTGATGGATGGAGTGGACACAGGAGTTGTGAGCAAACTCAGCAGATGGGAGTTTTGCTGCCCACAAGTTTGGCACCTCAGCACAGTACAGCCAGAGGTATCCCTCCACTTCTTGATTCACCCATTCACTTTCTCCATTGGTTTGTGGGTGGTAACCTGTCAAAAGTTTAGGAGTTACTCCTATAGCCTTGTAAAGTTCTTTTGTGAATGAGGAAGCGAACTGCAGTCCATGATCCAAGGTCACCAATTCAGGGACCCCAAAACAGGAATAGATGAACTGATGGAAGAGTTGGGCAACCCTGATGGAGTCAATTGTTTTATGGCACAGAACAAACAGGGCAGCCTTTGACAAGCCCTGATCAACAACCATGAGAATAGAGTCATATTTTTGTTCTCCCAAGACTGGGAGATCTGTGATGAGATCCATGGAGATTTGTTGGAACAGAAACATGGTCTTGGGCATGTCATGAGGGACAACAGGTGGTGTAGGCAGGTGAGTCATGACCTTAGTGGTCTGACAAGAGGGGCAACCTGCCATGTAAGCCCATATATCCTTTCCCATACCTTCCCACCATACCTCCTTGTGCATCTTTACAAACATCACCTTTTGTCCTGGATGTCTGGCTGACTCATGGTCATGATATGAGCACATGCAATGATGGCAGTTTTCTGGGGGAATGTACAGATGCATAGTTCCAAACTGTTTTGTTCCATCTTCCATGAGTGTGACATTGTCCCTGGGCTCCAGGCCTGTAGAGTCCTTTGGCATATTGTTCTTGACATGCTCATACAAGTCTGTGGATATCATGTAAACTCCACATCCTCCTTTTACAGGATTCCTCAAAGGGCGAGCATCAGGCAGCCTTTTCTCCTTTGACTTTTCCTCAGACATGTGAGAATATGGCTTGGAGTTGTTTTGGGAATGCTGAATCTGTGTGGGTAGATGTCCTATTCACACAAGACAATTGATTTTTAGCTGTTTTTGTATTTTTGTAACTGAAAAAGAAGGTGAAATGAGGTGAATTTGGGAACCCACCCCCTCCAAAAGCCAAAGGTCCAGGGGAAGGACTGTGGCCACTGGGGTGGGCTCCTCAAGAGTGCCTTTCTGTGAAAGAGTGTTGGCCAGGACCTGTAGGTGACCAGCCTGCTGGGTGAACTGGATTGGATAAGACTGGATAGTGGCAGCCCAGTGGGCCTGATGAGGGGTGAGCTGTTGAGGCTTGCAGTAATACTCCAAGTTCTTGTGGTTGGTGAAGACCACAGTCAACTCAATGGGGGAGAGGAGGTATGGGTGGAAAGCCTTCAGGGTGTGGATAACAGCAAGGATTTCAAGGTTGTAGACCTGATATTGCTGCTCAGCACTGACCAAGGACTGAGAAAGGTAGGAACATGGATGCCACTCATTGTTGGCTCCTTTCTGGGCAAGAATAGCCCCAGTTCCGAGCTTCGAAGCATCCATAAAAAGGGCAAAGGGCTTCGAGAAGTCCAGAATGGTGAGGACCAGAGAGGAGCATAACAAAGACTTTAACTTTTCAAACATGGCATCGCATTCTGGAGTCCACTGGTAAGAAACCCCTTTCTTTGTAAGGTCATGGAGGGGTCTGGCGATGCTTGAGAAGGAAGGGATGAACTTGCAATAGAAATTACAGAATCCAAGGAATCTGTGAAGCCCGGTAAGATTGTCAGGGGCTTCCCAAGTACTGATGGCATTGGTCTTCATCAGTGAAGTCTCCATATGCCCCTTTCCTATTATCATTCCCAGGAATTCTATGTCTTTGGCCTTGAAGACACACTTGCTGATCTTGAGGTGCAGCCCTTCTTTCTCGCAGATCTTCAGGAACTTGTGAACACAAGTCCAAAGTTCCTCTCTGGTCTTGGCATGGATAGCAACATCATCCATGTATCCTACCTGCTTTCCATGTTGCAACTCAAAAGTTTTGTCCATGTACCTTTGG